CACATTTCTCAGACCCCTTGTCCTGAGCTTGCCAGTTGCCTGTCTGTGTCACCAAGTCCATCCCCACAAGGCAGTTGATCACAACCGGGCACGTGTTACCTTTTTATTGCCACAAATGTTCAAAACTGGACAAGGCTTTCTCTGGAAGCACACCCCCCCGGGTGCTAAGTCATGGTTAGGAGGGGTGGCCAGGGCAGGGCAGGTGGCTCGCACCCTTCCTGAGCTCTGACCTGCTGCAGCTCCTCACGTCGTGTACTCCTTGTTCAGAGAAACTCTGCAGCAGGCTATTTACTGCTCATTTTGCAGCCCCACGAATACATCTGTAAACTGAGAAGGGGCTGTGGTTGCTGAGGATATGATCTATCACAGGAATGGGCCAAGAAGAGCCCAGGAAATTAACTGGCTTTGAGAGTATTATTTATTTATTATTGTATTTTTTTAAAACACCCTTTTAGGAGGTAGGAGATTCTCAGTACAGGGAGCACTGGTATATTAACCTCACATTTTTGCTACTGAAAGGACTCTCTAGTCTGACTTCTATGTTTTGACAACAAAACAGTGCAGCTATGATTAGCCTGATAAAAGGGAGCCAGAGTTGGAGTATTGATGGTATGTGCATCTAGGATCTAGTTACAAAATGGGCTTTTAACCACATTCTCCCTTGTGAATTCGTGTTATCAGAGGCCATCTTAAAAACAACAAAAAAAGACAGACAATCTCTCTTTTTCATTTCTCTGGGTATGTTTCTTGTATCTCTTTATGCTTATGAAAAATGAGACATTAATAACCTTGACCAGAACCACACACTGAGCAGACGGGTGCTGTGTGAACTTCCTTACTTAGTCCATGCCAGTGCAGAGACCAGCAGCAGCAGCGAACCTCTAACCAGAGGTAAGTATCGAATCCAGCTGTGGTTCTGTGAGGGAGTCCAAAGGACTGTATCAAGACCAACAGACTCTTCAAGCTTCTTTTTTATGATCTAATTTATTTTGAGAATACATTTTGAGAGCTGATTAGCCAGCATACTAAATCATTGCACTGCCTAACCCCAAAAAGCAACCTTGACAAACAATTAACAATAGAAATACCATTGTAGCAACAAGTGATGGATGGCTCCAGGGTGTAGCTTGGGCCTAGTCTTTGTTCAGAAGAAAGTGGCTGCTGCTAAATAAAGAACAGGGTAGTAAAAGGTGAGAGCAAAGAGATCATATCTGCAATAAAACTATTTGCTCTGCTTCAGCATATGTTTCTCAGGGCAATGAGCATCTCAGGAGGCAGGAGAGCCCCTGCCTGATGACTGCACACCCAGTGTGTTCCCTGGGAGCAGAGTGAGAGGCTCTCACACTGCCTTGGACTCTCTTAGAGTCAGAGCCATGTGCTGGGACAGGCCTGCAGACAACAGCACTTCATGGAGCAGCAAAAGCTGCCTCAGACTTTCCTGTAGAGACACCAGAGTTCTTTCAAGGGAGGAATCCAGAACTGGAGTTTATCTGCATACATCTTACCATAGAATCACAGAATCCCAGACTGGTTTGGGCTGGAAGGGACCTTAAAGCTCATCCAGTTCCAACCCCTGCGATGCACAGGGACACCTTCCACTAGAGCAGGTTACTCAAGGCCAAGATCTGGGATTTCTTTTAACCTTTGTAAGAACAGTTTCAAGTTTGTTTCTATTGCCTCCTGATTCCTACTTTTCTGTCATTTATTTCTAATCGTTGTTCCAAGTTTTGTGCTAATTTACTGATTTGCCTATAACTTCCTGCTGTACTCTGTTAAGGGAAACTGGGTAATTTATCATAATGCCTCATATGGATTTTACTATGCAGAGATAAGCAAGTAACAAATTTAAGAACATAGTGTAAAAAAGAAAACTGGATATATATGCACTGTATATGGTAGGTAAAGATTAGTTACTATAGACCACTGGAAAGACACATGGTTGAAAGGACCATTTAAGGTCTACAGCACTTTAAACGGTGATTAAAATGCTTGAGACACTTTGCCAAACAAGACAAACTACCCTCCATAATCTGCACAGGAATGCTACTTTATGTATGCTTCACATGAGCACGCACCCATGCACACACATATATTTAGGTCACTATTTTTTTAGGAACAGAGTAAGAGAAAGTAATGGATTAGCCCAGTAAATGATTTATCTTCATTTTCTGAGGAGGCTTTGCCATTTTCTGTTCTTACAGAGCCCTTAGATGACAGTTTGCTCAGCCTTGACCTATCCCATATCCCTGTGCTGTGTTAAACAGCCAACTTGCTGAGGTTGGGTTGGACAAAGCATCTCTAGCTTCAGCACCAGGAATAGAAAAAAAAACCACAACCCAAAATGAAGGCTAAAGGGTCCTGGACCATGTCTTATGTTCCAGGTCACCACAGCAGAGAATATGGACTGAAACTGTGAAGCAGATTTAAAATGACCTCCTGGTTGTTTTAATGTTCAGAGGTCCACTTTGGAAAGCAGGTTTAGTTTCAGGCTGAGGCTTCTGAGATCTTTTGTGCCCATTTGTGCTCAAGAGTTATTGAACCAATGCGACCAATTGTACTAAAAGCAACAAAAGAAGCTACAAACCCCCACCTCCACCATGCATCCCTAGATCCTCAGCAGCAGCAGTGTTTGGTTGGTTGGTTTGGGTTTTGCCAGCCCTCAGGAGCCAAGTGTGGAGCAGGACGTTATTGTACCAAGTTATACATAGAATTATAGAATCACAGAGTGTTTGGGTTGGAAGGGACCTTAAAGTTCATCCAGTTTCAAACCCCTACCACGGGCAGGGACACCTTCCACTAAAGCAGGTTACCCCAAGCCCCTGTGTCCACCTGGCCTTGAACACTGCCAGGGATGGGGCAGCCACAGCTTCTCTGGGCACCCTGTGCCAGGGCCTCAGCACCCTCACAGGGAAGAGCTTCTTCCTTATATCCAACCTGAACTTCCCCTATTTAAACCCATCATCCCTTGTCCTACAGTCATTACTACAGTTCTTGATGAAGAGTCCATCCCCAGCATCCCTATATGCCCCCTTCAGATACTGGAAGGCTGCTATGAGGTCTCCACGCAGCCTTCTCTTCTCCAGGCTGAAGAGCCCCAACTTTCTCAGCCGATCTTCATATGGGAGGTGCTCCAATTCCTGATCATCCTTGTGGCCTCCTCTGGACTTGCTCTGGGGCAAAAAATAAAACCTTAATTCACAAATCTGCACAGGCAAAACATGCTTTGGTGACTGAAATGGCAGGGCATGTTCTGACACTCAGAAAACTGCTTGACATGCAGAGGACAGTGCACTGAGCACATCCACTTACAGAACTGATAAAGCTTGTGTAATCCTACTTCCTCATGCAGGTCCATCCCACATTGCTTAAGCTGTTGGTCTGTGTACCTCAATGAGCTGAGTGAGCATCTCTGTGTGAGCTGTGCACAGGGTTCTCCCGATCCCCTGCTTGTCACACACCCGTTCCCAGCGCTTCCCCACTGGGGCAGCCGGCAGCGCACGGCCACAGCGCGGGGTGCTTGTCTCAGCACGCTGCTGGGGCTGGGCTCCCTCCTACAGCAGCACAGCGTGTTCCCTGCTCATCTCAGGAGATGAGAGACAAATGCAAATTGGAATCGTGCCCTTCTGCGTCTCTCTGAGCGGCACTTGCCTTTTCTGGGGGATTCCCCCCCGAAAGAGGACATGCCCTAAGCCATGCATAAGCATATCCTCTCTTGCATAGGCCTTCACTTCTCACTATGTGCTGCCTTACACACTCATATGCGATGCGCTCCAGACCACCTTGTATCTGCTGCTGGGACACTCGTTGCCGCTTTATTTCACTTGAGGCTGGTAAAGCCGTGGGGCCGCTGCTCCCCCTCTGCCCCAAAAAGTCTTGGAGGTTCTGGGGGCTGCCGGCCCTGCCCGTGCTGCCCTCGCTGCCAAGCGCATCCCTCTCTGATCACTCTGCCCGCAGAGCCCGCACTGCCCGCCAGGTGGCGCTCTGACCAAGAGCTTGCGGTGGCGGCGCGGGGGTGCGGAGGTGTGGGGGGTTGTTTGCGGGGTCCGGGGCTGCTCCCACCACTGACACCCCAAATTCCGTTTCATTCCCCGCACAGGGCCTGGGGCCGCTCACCGGTTCCGGCTGCCCGTGGTGGGACGGCCCGGCCCGGTTCGCCCGGGAGAGAGGGTGATGTGAGAGCGCCCGCAGCAGCGGGACACAAAGGGCGCTGGAGACGGGAGGGAGCCGCATCCCTGCCCGGGCACTCCGCAGGGACAGCGCTGGCCGGACTGCTGTCCCAGCCCATTCATAGCCCCGCCGGTGCGGTTCGGGGAGCGGCGGGTCCACGCGGGGCACCGGCGCGTTATGCCGCTGCTCCGCTCGCTGCCCCGGGAGAGGGGTTTGGTCCCGCGTTCTCGGAGGGATCCCGACCGCCTTTCACTGTTGGTTTATTTTTTGTTTTCAGAAAACCCCTATCAGCAGAACAATTCCCGCACCACACCCCTGTTATCGCGTAGGTAACCTCCCTGCTTGAAATATTTTAAATGGATAATAAAATAGTCACCCTATCTGTGTAAATTCCCGCAAGGAAGAGCCAGGAGACTCCCCCCCCCGTGCCCCCCGAGGCAGGACGGCGGCTCCCGGAACGTCCCGGCTGCGGGGTCCGACCCGGCGCTGCCCCGTCCCACGAACACCTTGTGCGAGCCCACGGCCGCGCAGGGCCCGGCGGGACAAGGCGTCCCCGCCTCTGTCATCGCAAACTAAGCGGAGAAGGCACCGCAGGTACACACGGGCGGGGCTTTCCCCGGCCCCGGCGCGCTGTGGTACCGGCGGCGCTGCTGGGGAACGCTGCCGGGGGCTCGCCCCGCCGCGCCGGTTGGACTCGGAAACCGGGAGGGAAAGCAGCAGCACGTTACACGGTAGCGGGGAGGCAGAGCGAGGGGAGGAGCGTCCGCGCAGGGGCAAACGCATAAAACCAGCCCCAGGTGCTCGGCAGCCCCGGCGAGCGGCAGCTACCGCGGAGTAAAAACTTGCCCCCGTCCCCGGTGCCGGCCGGCGCGGAGCAGCGCGGGGAGCGGCCCCATGCCGTCCGGCGGGCCGGGGCCAGCCCCGGGGGCACCCCCCGGTGACACCCCGCGCAGCTCCCGCCGCTTTTCCCCGGGCCGTGCCCGCAGGAGGAGTCGCGCTCTGCGCCCCGGGAGGATCGCTGTGAGCCTGCGGGCAGGCAGGTGATCTGCCTGCCAGTCCTGGTTACACTTCTTCCCACCTCCCGCCTTACTTCCCCCCCGGCTGGACAACTCCCTCCCTGGAGAACACGCCCAAGTAGCTGAAAAAGAGAGAAAGCGAGGAGAAAAGAAAAAAGGGGGGTGGGGGGGAGCAGGGAGACAGTTACCGCTGGACCGGGGGGAGCCGCCGGCGCTCGGGAGGATCCCGCAGCCCGTGCCCTCCCGGCAATAAAGCGCTACGTGTGACAGGCATACAAATCCGGGAGCGCGGGAGCGGCGGGGCCCGGCGGGCCATGCTGAGAGTCTGCGGGGGCTCGCCGGGGCGCAGCGGCAGGGCGCGGCGGCGCGGGGGGCCCCGCTCGGCCGGGCGGCCCTGACCCCACCGCACCGCCGGGACCGGGACCGGCCCCGGGCCGGCTGCGCGGCACGCACCGTTTCGCACGTTGGGCTGAGACACGGCAAGCAAGGAATATGAACAGGAAAACAAGGCGCTGGATCTTCCACATCTTCCTGAGCCTGGGGATTGTGTATATCAAGATTGGGTAAGTAACTTTTTTTTTCCTCCCTTCTTTCTTTTATAACAATCGCGCTCTCGCGCTCCCAGCCGAACCTGCCCAGACCTGTTACTATTTAACTCGGAAAGTCTCAAAAAGAAAAAGATGATGGTAGTGATCACAGTTATTTCGTAAAGGACAGGTAAAGCCCCCCTCCCTCCCCCCCCGCGCTCTTAGCGACCCTCGGGGAGCGGAGCCGCTGGGACCGGGAGGTCCCTGCCGATGGGGGAACTGGGGAACCCCACGGAGCAGCCGGGCCCTTCTCCGCCCCAGCCTGGGGTCCCGGCCGCTGGGTGCCCCCGCCCAACCCCCCCAGCCACCTGCCGCCGGCCGCGGCTCCGCTGCCGCCCACTGAACCCCCGCACCCAGCGGGTAACGGGCCGGTGGCAGCTCCCACGACCCGTCCCGCAGCAGCATCCCCCGGCCGGGTCGCTCGGAGCTGCTGGCCCTGGTGCGCCCGGCTGCGGGGGGATGCGGCGGCGGGCGCGGATCACCCTCCGCCCTCCCTCTGCCCTCCCGCTATCCCACAGGAGAGGGAAAACCCTCCCTGCCCGTTGCCTGTGCGTGGCCCGAGCACGCAACGCCGATGCATGCGTTTTAATTTCACGAATGAGGAAGTTGGGTCCCGTTTTGGCAGGAGCCCGCGTGCGCCTTATCTCCACTCCGGCTGTGGAGAGAGGGAGAGGGAAGCTCAGCGGGAAGAGGCGGCAGTTTTCCGGGGGCACCTGCCAAAGTTGGGCTCAGCGGGTGCTGCGGGTGCCTCGGGCACCAGCCGCCCCTCAGCCCCTGGTGTGTTGTCGTTGCAGGGGTTTTTCCTCTGTGGTGGCCCTGGGAGCCAGCATCATCTGTAACAAGATCCCGGGTCTGGCTCCCCGGCAGCGGGCGATCTGCCAGAGCAGGCCCGACGCTATTATCGTCATCGGGGAAGGGTCCCAGATGGGCATCAACGAGTGCCAGTTCCAGTTCCGCAACGGGCGCTGGAACTGCTCTGCCCTGGGAGAGAGGACTGTCTTCGGGAAGGAGCTCAAAGTGGGTATGTTGCCTCTCTGCTTGCTGCTGGCCGGCTCCCACCTGCATGACACCCAAAGGGGGGCACACAGGGAGCATCACGGGCACACCTATGGCATTAGGAAGGACCAGCTGGCTCATACAGCTTGTGCCAGCCAGGGCAGGACTGTGACCTTGGGCATCTTCACCTCGATGCTATGGCTGTTGCTACCAGCGTGACTGACATCTGTGCTTCCTCCTGGCAGGGCACCTGCTCTGGTTAAGGAAAGCCCTTCCACATGTGTTAGCTTCCACCACGGCATTGCACTGTCCTGGTCTTGCAAATCCTTTATGAAAGGTTCCCCATCTGTGTGCGCAGGACAGGACAGCAGCCTTGTTCATGTACTTAAGGATGTGAAGGAGGTGTTTGGTTCTGGTTAAACGTAGTGGTCACAGACGGAATGCAGAGCAGGGAGCAGCTCAGCAGTGACACTGGCCTGATATTTGTACCTGTTGAGACTCAGTCCAGGAATCAGTCTTGTTCTAAGAGACTTCCACTGGACACGGTAGTTATTCTATAGCAATTATATGTAGTGTCCCCCCTCCCACTACAAAGAAGGGGTGGGTTCTGCTTTGAGATGTCAGGACATTTATAAAAACTGTTCCAAGCAACAGGCAGAAGATCCCATTTCCAATTTCTTTCCTTGGCCCCCCCCCGGCACCCAGTTATTGCAACAATACAAAATACATCTAAATTCTTAACTGAATCAGCATTAATAGTGACAAACACAAATACCTGAAGAAAGAGAGCTCTCATACCCCTGTACTGAAATCATATAGTAGCGGAGCTTACTCATTAATTATTGATTCCACAGAACTTAAGATACCAAGACTCAGGAAAGGTGTTTTCCAAATACAGGTATAGCCATTTTTAAAGCCATCATTGAAAGCTAATCACTTACAGGACAGCATTCTGCACCCAGAAGTTGAAGCTGGGATCTGCGGTTTTCAGCCTTAAGGTCTTTCTGCCTCCTCCCCATGTAAAATGTAGATGCCAAATGCAGAAACCCCATCAAACAATGCTCAGCATGATAGAAAACACGGATCTTTCATTCAAATGGAATAAGTGATTGAGGACAGAAGGTAGAAAGGCCCTGAGCAGTCCCACAGCAGCTGTGCCCTGGCTTCTAGCTTGCTGGGCAACCCTCTGGACTGGACTTGCTCCAGGCACTGTTTAGTCATCTATGGACAAATGGCAGGGTATGTCCCCAGTTCCTCATTCCTGCATTCCTGTGAAATGCAGGAATACATCCTTGCTGTTCTGCTCTGGAACTCCTGAGAACTCCTGGCAGGAAGTGAACATATGTTTTATCACATGTGTGCATGCTGATACGTGCATTTTCCAAACCCAGTGACATTTAAGAGAAGATCAGAAAGAACAAGATGACTAAATTTGAAATCCCAGTGTGAGTTACTGATATTTCAACACCTTTGATAATCAAACAGGGTGAGGGGATGTAAAAGCGACCCTGCACGACACTGAAACATCTGAAAATGGACCATTTATTCAGATTAGCTCATTGTTTCTATTCCTTGAGCTGAGCTGTTACTGTCAGTGATGCATGCAAGTGTTTGCCACTTATGTCAGTGAAGAGACCATTTGGATGGCTGACAGGTTTGGGCTCATTTGCTCCAAGAGTAACATTTCCTTAAACAGAAAATGTGAGAAGGATTTTTAATTCTTCAACGAATCTTAGAACTGCAGAGTTGCTGTGGTCTCTTGTACAAACATGCACTCAGTTCCCCCCCTGCCCAAAATTGAATTATTTAGCTAGCAGGTTATATTTAGGTCCTTTTAAAGAAAGTCAATATTAAAGGAAGTAGACTTTGATCTGTCTTTGAGGTGATAACTCTTAATATGTTCTATCTATCCATTATGAGGCTAAGATGGATAGGGCAAATTCATCGCTGGCTTTGGAACACAGTCAAGTGTTGAATGGCATCCAAATGATAAAACTCATTTGAAGAATAACAAACCCCTTCAGATTTAAACAGGTTATACACTTAAATTTGAAAACAAACTTCGATAAAAATCACACAGGTTTGAAATCTGCAGTGGTGAATTTTACTTGCACCCAAGACGTGCATGATGTCTCGAGGATAGAGATACTCAGGCCTTCAAACACTGGGAAGTGTTTTAACTCTTGCTCAGGTTGTCTTGTTGTTCTTCTGCTTCTTCCCTATTAGCATGTACAGAGACCTACAGTATCTGACACAAATCATTTTTCTACAGCTATAAGAAAAATAATCTGTTTCCCAGTTTTCTCCCTCTTTTCGTAAGATCTCTGTGTCGGGGTGTGCTCTAGGTTACCAGTCAGAGAGATAAAGGTCAATATTGCCCTCATGAAAAAAAGGGTAAAGCCTATGTGCTATACAGCCGTAAGTCAAATTAGGTGCCCACAAAATAGAGGAGATCAGCCCTCTGTGACTCAATCTAAGCAGGAGGAGGTATGTGGGACATGAAGGACCGTATACCCTAGAGGGTGTATTTTAAGGTTACAGTGCACAAGAACAATCCAGGTTAACATTAGTTACTGTATCCTTGTTGCTTTTTTAATTAGCAGTGACAGCTCTAGATCCTCAGTTCCTTGTCATTGTGTGTATTACGAAATACTATTAAAACAGCAACTAACACATTATCACCTTTTATAGCATTCAAAGACTGATTCTATTTCTTGGCCAATTGCATCCTTAAAGTTATTATCTAGGAAGTACATGGGGCAGCTTTGTCTTGACACCTGCAGTGAAGTCCAAAGCCACACATGATCTCATTGAGCTTTCTCTCTCAGAGGCTATGCTCTGCCTCTGGAGTGGCACTGGTGTACTGGCTCTATGATTAGGGTATGACTTCAGAATGACAGTGATGTGGCTGGCTGGCCACTGCACTGCTGAATGTGTGCAGTGAGCAGTCTAATATCAATCTGGGAGGATGTGCTTAAATAACTCTTATGCTAATAGGATTTGTATGTGTTTGTCCATACAAATAAGTTCCCTTGGATACCACAGATTCTTGGGAACTGTTTCCCAAGCTCTGATTTTGATGGCATACCAAGCTAAACCTCTTCAGAACCTGGTTTCTTTACTTTTACCTTTAGAGGGTGATCCGCTTTAGGAATGTTATGCAAATGTGCCCAAATTATTGAAATCCTCTTCTTGTCACTACGGGGTGATTCAGGAGGCCTCAGTTCTCCCTGTGGCTCTGCCATTGTGTGGCTGAGGGACAGAGACCCTGCCCTGTGCTCCTTTTTTCCTACCTTAAAAATGCCAACAGGCATCCCTGGTCAAACACTGAAGTCAGTAAGAGGAAAGCATCAAATACAATTTTCCTGCTCTAATCTGCAGCTTGTGTGTATCTGTATTTTAACAAATTCACATCTAATGCATCTTCAAGGGATAATTTAGTTGTAGAGTTACACTTAACGACTATTTAAACTCATTCATGCTTCATATGGCCTATTTGTGACCACAGACTGGAGTTACCACCTCGTGTAGCATACTTCAAACCAGTGCACAGCATATACTCTCCATTTCTTGTGTCATTTTGTCTAGTTTGTCCTTCAAATAAGAGATTCTTCCCTACTGACATACTGCGGATATCTTATCGTGACAGCAGGCGACTAAAGTGCCAATAACATGAAGAGAAACAACAGAGTAAAAGTGACATCAGTTTACTCCAGCAGAGGACTCAGTCCAGTTACGGGAGTGATAAAGTCACCATCAAGATCACCACAAGGATTTTTGTTCTAGACAATTCTGTAGACACCTTATTAATAATGTAAAGTCACAAAGAGAAATTTTAAAATAACCATGGAGATGATGCAATGCTGCAGTTCTGGACACTTTTAAAACCAAACCTATTTGTTACAGTGCTCAGCAGTTCTGTTCCTGAAGACAGCCACAATTAAACCAAGGGTTTAAAGCAGGACTGGCCAAAAAATTCTTGCCCACCTCTCTTCAGGTGAAATGTTGTTCAAGCCTCAACATCTGAGCAACCAGGGTTGCCTTTGATAGAATGTGAAAATCAGAGCTGGGCTCTGACAGACTGCAGAAAGAGTAAGTGCTATAGGGAAGGCTCTTCATCAGATGCCTTACTAACCCGTTCTGGTGTGCAACCTTGTCAACAGGTAGTCAACAGTAACTTTGCTGTTTGTGATAATCACAGGACAAGGAATAACTAACTCAAAAAGTTCCCTTAGGATTTGTAAACATTTCATGGCGTCTAGAGGGCAGCACCATGTTGGTGTCATAGGGAAAACCAGAAAAACTATGTCCTGAGTAGCACTGCCACTATTAAATGAAACCTCCCAAGTGAAACTAATGCAAACTGTTTGACTTAATCTCAGCAAAGTGACACACAAAGGAAACTCATCTCAGTACAGGTCTGTGAAAAGAAAGCCACTATGACCATGCAGAATCTGTCATGGACCCTGCATGGGAGAGGATGGAGAGAATCAGCTGAGGGCTGTGAAGACGTGCTGGTCTTCAACGAGCATTACAGCAAAACAGGTTTCAACCAAATTTTCATCCTGGTCTTACCGAAACTTGTCAGTTCTTTGGTTTCTTTCACACTAAAAAATGTTTCAGTATAATCACATTGATACCTTCATCCATCTGATATTAGTCATGTGAATAAGGAAAACTGAAATCAGAACAAGAATCCATATGGACCAAACTTCTGCGCACAGCACCAGTGTACATTGTGCCTAGTGCCTTTGAGGGATCACTACAGATATACTCAGATGTACACATTAAAACAGGAGAGGCTGTTAGCTGTCCTTTATACACTATATTAGCTCTACACTGTCCACTGGACTGAATTTAGCAGTGTTTTGTTTCCCATATATTAAAATACACTTTTCTTCTATGGCTTCAACAGCATAAATGAAGAGGGGATATTCTTGTCTATTGCAATAAGTAACAACTACCCTATAAGCCAAACCCTTAAGTAGCTTGTTTGGGAGCTATCAGGAACTATCTCTTTTGCTA